ACCAAGAACAATGAACTTAACTGATATCAAGGATTACTTGTCATTTTTTTCATCCATGCACCGCTGTTAAGTTTTTGTCAATGGATTGTGAAAAAAATTATTGAATAGATTTCATCACAGTTTAGCTTGAAAATTAATTACCAAATACTCAGATGTCATTCATGTCTAAAATGCAAGCTCTCCAGACCATCCAGACACAATATTACACATGTCACATCACATACGTGGATACAAACTCAAAGTTACGTACTAAGATAAGAGGAGTTATACCAAGATAAAAACAATGTACGAAAACAAAAAATGAAATAGGATATTTATCGGATATACTAATTATGATGCGTCTAAGTAGTATCTTTTGTACAGTCTTCGAGATTGCAGGTGTTAGACACGGCTTGTCGCCTACATTTACTAAAATACGGTGCTTTTGCACCCCACTCAACCAAAACAAGAAAACATTTCAAAGTTTTGAGGCAATCGCCCATTAATCAATTAGCAAAATATGTTTGCGAATGTTTTATTCCCTGAAGACTTGAGCTTTAGTTGAATGCGTTGACTCATCTTTTGTTCATTTTCAGTTGTTTCCGAAGTTAATTAATGAAAAGAAAATGATTGAAGAACAAACGACTTGGAGGTCTAATGAAGTTATTAAAACTGTTATGGAAAGAACCCTCAATGAGGCCGGAGACAAACAAGATATCGTGAGTTGGTTTACTTGTAAATCGTAGACATTGTATATGTCAACATCTCTCCTTGAGCGACAAATCTTTGTTTTAATTGTGTGGGGCAAATTTATATATAAAGAAAATCCTCAGTTCCTAAGCTGCAGGATAAATAAACCTGAGTGAACTTTATCCCGTTTTTACTTTTGTCAGATATGAAATCATGTACATTAATTTTGTTATGCAAATTGGTTTTGAAGTTTACAGACGATATCCACAGTAATTGTTTTTTAACGAAGTGTGCTTTCATAGAGTGATGGCTGTGGAATATCATTAATCAACAGAATCTATAACCTTATTTGCAAAATGCTAGAGTGGATAATCAAAATTTCGCGATATTTACATTGTATTGCCTGATGGACCATCCATAGTTTGAATCAGTTAGCTTTATCAGTTCTAAAATTTATCATAATGAAGAAGACATTATGTGTTTGGAGATTTATATTCTATAGCATAGACGTCATATCAAACGTTTTCAATACTACACCGCCATGGGTCTGTCAGCATCTGTATAAGGATGATTTTAATCGTGACAATCCGAAGGACCATCCTCATATGAAATATAGTGTGTGATATATATCTTTGTCCTATCAATAAATCAAGAGGCAAGGGGACATAATTCTCTCAACACTTAGATCAGTAGCAAAGAATTGACAAGCAATATGTCAAAAGGTTTAGAAAGAGTACGTGATGACTGTAGAGGCACTGATTCGGATCATAATGTTGTGTAATTAACCTATTTATCGTTCATGGTAATATACCAAAAGGAGATATGTTATAATGTCCTTACTACATTTAAAGTGAAAGCGACAAAGTTAATAATTATACTTCAGGAGCGAAAAAAGTGGACAAGTTGAATTGGAGCAAAATATGCATCATTGCCATTTTTGTGTCTACGACATCGTAAGAAAATTAAATTCCTGATTCTGTACGGAATCTTGTTATCATTTCCTTGTTATCTTCATCAGTATCACTTTAAGCATCTTCTTGATTAATTCTCTTACTACATTGGTATTTACGTGTGCGTTATTTATGGTCAGAATATGCATTGCCAACATCTACATTTTCCCGTGTAATCTGAGATTTATATAATTCTTGTGATGAATTGAAAACAGCATTCACTTGTATTCGTGAGAGGTAAGTATAATGTAAGTCAAAAAGAGATGTAAGTATGTAACATCAGTAACAAGAGAACCGTGGCCAGAAAAAAAATCATTTACACAGCTATATCTGCATGTTTACACTCCAATGTCTCATCATTTTCGTATATTCTAAAGAAAAAGAAAAAACGGCATCTAGTACATTTGTTGATATTGATTCAGTCTTTTTTTCCGATACAGGTTGTCACCGAGGTAGCTACTGGAGCGCGTTTGGAGGTTGTTATGGTCAAAGTGTGATATGCAGAACCATAACAAGTATAAAGTTCGATATACCATTTTCACAATTCTACTCAAACGTCGCAGGGATGAATCCTGTAAAAATATAATTGTTTAAACATTAAAATGCGAAGAAAATGTTTAGATTTTGTTTTCTCTTCTCTTTCAAAACGGTACTTTTTTAAAAGGAGACAAATGCATGCTAATCAGATGTATAATGATATATTTTAAGCGTTGTCTGAAAAAGCTGTATTACACAAGGCCAAACGAATCCTAAGAATATTTGTTAATAGAAATAACAATTGAATTACAACAAAACTCCATTAAGTCGAACATAAGTTCGAAAAATCCGAGGACAAATAACAAAAATTATTTTCAAGAACACTGGTCGGGATCAAGCGACCAGTGCGACGAATAGGGACACTGGGAATGTATGTGCTAAACAAGAATGATTTTTTAAAAGGGTGTAAGATATCAATTGTAATGGAGTTTATGGGACATACTCTACAAATTAAGAAAAGTGAAATGCAAATAAAGCTAATAATCAAGTTCTCCAAACTAATCCGCAGTTTTCTGGTAACGGTCTTTTGAATAATAGTATAAAACCAGGACAAATATATGAACAAAAGAAACATTTACACGGAGATTCCTGAAAAAGTACAAGGAGGATAAGGCCAGGTGTTCCGGAAGAGCAAGCGTCTTTCGCTTCATCGACGTCAACCGCCATGTAAATCATGGTAAATCCAAGTAAGTAATGCCATGTTCTCAAATGATTATGAGGTATTCAACAACAGGACCATCACGTCTACTAAAGAGCAACAAACACATCAAACTTGATATCGCATAAGGGATCACGATGACGATCGTCGCCCTTCCAGGTCCATTACATTAACCTGCATATCTGTTTCAGATATCTTGAAATGTGCGTTTCTTTTGAATTATCTCACCTTGTATCTGACAATCAGCATATTCACAATTGTTAACTCCCGGTTTTTGAAACTCCTGTGTTGGATTACGTACATGTCTGTTGATCAACATTCTCATCATCAGGCCTGATAATTCAAAACTATAAAGTAATTATCTTTTAGTTTTTCGCTGTTGGAAAACATGGAAAATATCCCTCCTACAATCGAGGCTGTCGTCATGTTTTGGTATATCATCAAACTTGTTAATTCCTTTGGACGCTTTACAAAAAAGAGATGACAAGATAACATTATTTTCGATCTGTCTCCTTCACATGCAATGTCATGTATTGTGAAATGGTTCTCGCTCAGCTTTTATTTCTGAGTTGATAGCAGACTTAAAATTTGTATATAAATAGCCACATAAAATACATCACATTAATTACCAAGTATTACATTCTTGTTGCGCGAATCGGCCTGCCAGTATGTTTTGAGAGTGTGATTTCCAAAAACCGCGTCCATGGTTAATTTTCTCTGGCCTGTTTACCAAAGCAGCGATCGATTTCGAAGAGATCCATCTTATTAAGGATTTGAATCACCTCAACTCAAAAAAATGTGAAGTTAATTATTTCAGGCGATTAGGCAGAAAACAATCACCTAGTGACTAGAATCCAGCCGAGTTTGTTTACTAATAATTAGTGTCTCTGTTACTCTTTAAATGTTAGACTTGATATTTGACTCTAGTACCTTCAGGCTAAAAAGTAGACTTACGTTTCGACATGAAACTAGGTCACTTTAAACATTCAAGGTAAGTAGGAAACTTTGAAAAACAACGCTGAGCGACTGGTGTTAGACGAACGTACCGTGAATAAGGTGTGTGTGTCTGCTGACTTTGCTAATATTGTTTGGCAGTAATCTTTCGACTTAGTAATTTCGCAATACATCGATGACCACAATCAAGTACGTTCCGCTTCATATAACACGTCTCCATTGCAAATGCTCATAATTTCCGAAGCCTGCATAGACGTAAGCATCTAATCAGTAATTCTAGACTTATTGTTATATATAGGAATGTGTAAAATATATGTATATATATATATATATATATATATATATATATATATATATTTATTTGTTTACAATTGCTGTGTTTTCCCCCTAATAAAACATAAGAATATCGACTGTGTTTATACTACAATAAATTTAGTACAGAACGTGCTAGATGATGACGTAACAATATTGACGTAGGAATACATTTACACACAAGTCAAAGGTTGCGGCCCATTCATGTTTACAAACAAAAACCACGTGTTGCTAGCATTGACCAGTTCTGTAGATAAAATTACTACACACAAACTATTCCATTTGTATGACCGATTTCCTTCAGAAAACATGAAGAAAATAGTTGAAATCGACGAACTATTTGTTTGGTTTCCGAGGAGAAAAAAGTCTAGCTGTCTTGGAAGCTGTTCCCGGAATTGAACGTCATTTTCACTTTCGTATTTAATTACTTGGAAATGGCGAAACTGAAAGTATTTTACTGGATTATTTTTTAAAGTAAAAAATTGTAAATAAAAGGATTATCTTTAATTTTTTCTTTGTTTATGAGGTATTTAATTTATCAGGATTCGAGTTATAATGCGGAATCTAATTGCTATGAAAATATTTTATTCAGTGAAGAGACGTGTTCTGGGAAGTATTTAATCATGCCGATATATAACTTGAATATTTTTTTAACTTCTTAAGACAAACTTTTGTCTGATTTATAACTTTAATTTACATGATTAACGTTAAAAGATCCAGCTGCAAAGCAGAAGACAAACCACCTCCATTCTCACTGACAAAAATCCACTTCCTTTTACTCATGTTCTTCCAAATATCCAATCACACCTATATGTGATGTGTGTCCACTTTTATACAGTTGTTCTATGTATAATGAAAATTTACAAATAATGTCCAGTTACGAAGCCACCTCCATATCACACATCTTACTTCTTATTGGACTAAGATGTTTTACGCGTCATACTGAAAGTCATTGTTTGTCCTGATTCAAGGTGAGTTATTGCCTAAAACATAAAGAAAACAATTGAGATAAACACAGATCTTAAAGGCGTTCAATCACTTACAATTCTCAGTATCGAACGAAGTATCTGTTAGAAGTATATGGCGAAGAAATTTGTTATGTGCATTTACATTTATCTTGCAACCACCACACGTCAGCAGATAACTAACCCCACATAAAGCAATGTTTTATCCGTTAGTAAAAACTGCTGTATCCGTCAATACAAACTGTTTTAACTGTCCAGACATACTGCTTAAACTGTCAATAAAAACTGCTTGATCCGTCAATACCAACTGTTTTAACTGTCCAGACATACTGCTTAAACTGTCAATAAAAACTGCTGTATCCGTCAATACAAACTGTTTTAACTGTCCAGACATACTGCTTCAACTGTCAATAAAAACTGCTTGATCCGTCAATACAAACTGTTTTAACTGTCCAGACATACTGCTTAAACTGTCAATAAAAACTGCTTGATCCGTCAATACAAACTGTTTTAACTGTCCAGACATACTGCTTAAACTGTCAATACGCGCTGTTTTAACCGTCGAGACAAACTGCTCAATCCGTCAATACAAAGTGTTTTATCTGTAAATTCAATCTGCTTTATCCTTCCAAACTAACATCTTAAACGGTCAAGAGAAACTGCTTAATATATCTATACGAATCATGTGAACTCTTTTAGAGTTGAACTCTGACGTTCTAAGTTTCAAGCTAATATAAAAAGAAGTGAGTAAAGTTTAGCAGTATAGTAGTATCTAACGAAAAAGATCCCTTAGGTATGTTTTAGAAATAAATGTACGACGTGAAAGTATGATGAAATTCAATGTTATATGTTTAATCCAGTCTTGGAATAGCTGCAGTCGTCAGCTGTTTCACAGTCAAACTATCGTCTGTCATGGCAATCAGGAAAAGATATAATCTACAGTTATCCTACCGATATTTTACAAATAAGTGGCCATACAAACTGAAATCTACCAGCCATTATCGATCAATTCTGAATCACAACAAAGTCGTTCGACGTGTACGCCATTAACCGTAAAATAGACAATCCGACAAATACAACCAAAATATCATTCGGAAATAGTGCAATGAAACCCTATAGTTTATGATGCATTACTCCTTATCAACAAGAAGGATATTTGCAAAAAAGATGTTCATCCTTTATAAAAAGCATAAGTTGATGACGTTCTCGGTATCTCTGAAAGACGTTAAGTTTCTGTGTATCAGAGTACAGCTGACAAACTTGGTATTTTTGTCCGAAAAGTATTCCTGGATTTACTAAATCATTGGTCAAGCATTTAAAATGTTTATCATCAGGGAAAAATGTATTTGCGTGATATTTTTATACATATATAAGTCAAGTTACTCTGTCGACAGAAAAGAGTGTTACTATATGGTAACTGTGCCTTGTAAAGCTTAAACACGTGAATATAATTTAAAGGCATTGACAACATCCAACGCGAAACGATATATCAGGCACATGCAGAAAGGTACACATTAGTGTTAAATGGTTGCAGAATAAATAGAAAATATTTTAGTATCTTATAATACAAGGGTTTAATTTTGGCTCAGGACGGAAAGACAAAGGTAATTCGCAATCCCGTCTTCCCTAACCCTCGCCAAATATAAAAGTGATATTGTAAGATTCTAACTATATATTCTTTATATGTTGAGTAAATTTGGTTGTGGATTTACGTCCTTGCAACAGCCCAGATCATGCAAAATCGCTGTCCGCTGTTATAATACTTTCATTGTAAAATAGCACAGCCTAGACACGGTAGCATAACATAGGAACTGGCGACAATGTATTGACAAGGGATTATGTTCTTGGTGATGACCATGATCAGTGAACACAAAATTGCGACTCAAAGACTGAGGACATAACGGCTAAGGTGAGCTAAAAATAAAGGATGTAAATGAAGCTGGTGCAAGTGAATATCCTTACACAATTCATAGTATCGTTCACAACTGTCCTTTCCATCCGGGTTTTAACTTCACGCCCTGAAGGAAGCCAAGTATCGGTCACCTCGACTAACTTGTTAGGTTGTTCCAGTGTGGGCGTAGTCTATAAACAAAAACGAATATTTCAAAAAGTCGTTAACGCATGACTTATACCGCAAGAATCTGAAGTTTTCATTGTTGGTTTCAAGGGTTTAACAATTTGAATATTTATTCCACATAAAGATACATATACGCATTTTATGTTTAAGAATTTTCAAGAACAAAAAATAGTAATTTGAAAAATTTTGATTTTTTGCTAAGCAATTATGCAATAAAAGTTCACTTTTCAAAAAGAGAAATATGAAGTGATTTAGTTACCAAGTATTACATACTTCATTAGAGTTTTAATAACTCTTCTTGGTGCTGGATATTAAAAGTTAAAAAATGATCAGTAATTCGATCTCAAGAACTATAACTACACACTTGCAACCAATTACGGTGGGGTGGAGATGTTTAGAAATTCTATTACATACAATGGTTTTGTTTCCTTCCATGTCGATATCTTCCGGATTGGTGACACCAATTTGTAACACGTGCGTCTGAGTGGTGTCCCCAATTGTCAGATCATATGTCCACGTGTCACCATTTATCTTGTACGCGATAGCCATTTTCAAATCTTTATACATCAGCTTTCCTTGGGGAGTCACACCTATGTCAAAGAGATGTACAACAAAAATAAGTTTTCTTGGTCTTAACGTGTCAACAAAGCATGAAATATATGTTAGTTTGTTCCAGGTGACATCTCTATAAGAGTGAACGTTTGGTGAAAAGTTAGGCCGAAACAATCGAAATACTTCGAATTAAAAGGGGTCATCGATTAAAAATTCAATTTCAAGTTTTTTATTCAAGTTCCAGATAATGAAATTCGATTGTACACGATAACTCAGCCAGCTCCTCGGATGTAACACAACACAGCAACAAGTTCTAATAGATATAAACGACCCCTCGGAGAATATACATATATTGACAAACACATTCAAATTAATATAATGCATAATATAATGCAAATAGTCGTAATACCAAGGCCACGTCAACTGCGAGAAAGAAAAGATTGCATAAAAAAAAAAAACACACACACAAGTGAGCAGCACCTTTTAATACAAAGTTAGAGTTGGATACAGTAGAGCCAAAGGATAAATGGAACTGCATCGTACATCTCTTTCGTCCGTCTAGGACTCGTTAGAGATGCTAGGAGTCCTAGTAGGCAACAGAGGAAAAATATAATATAATGAATAGATAGAATAATAAAAATCAAGTTTGCATCAGCCCTATAAGTCATTAGATTGAATATTTTTATATATCTGTTAAGTTTAGAACAACGTCAAGTACATGTGTATTTTCGAATGTATATACTCGTTTCAGTAACAATTAATATATATCAACATACCAGATGCATTTGTACTCACTGTCCACAGTTTTGGTTATGTGTAAATAATTACCTCTGGGTAGGTCGTTAGCAAACTACACACAATACAGGAAATAGTTGGGCAATACGGTAAGAATAACATAAAACAATGCGTTTTAGCAGAGAAAGTATTTGTCTCCCTTTTTTGTCCTCAATAAAGATAACCAAACTAAGTGTTCATTTTATGTTAAGGGATTAAGAGAATCTTTCACCCCTGCGTTTTATAGACAGGGATATCTCAAACCGAGGGCTATTTTTTCACAGTTTATAGCTCAAGGCTTCACGTAGCACTTACCGGCTTCCGTTCAGCAGCAATATATTTGAAAATGAATTGTCTTCGTTAATAGAAACAGGTGTCAATACTATCTCATATGTGTACTGACAACGCCTTTAAGACCATTTATCAGCCTTCCTTTTGGGTGATACAATAATGAAAATACAGAGATGTAATCTTTAGGTAGTTACACATATACCTAAACATTAAATAACTTCTTTTCAAGTGTTTACCACATGCATGCAAACAGTAAAACCATGAATTCAATTTGGATAACATAAATGTCATAATCTTTATGTGAGGTTATTCCCTCTACAACTGGTAGTGTTTAGCATTTTATCTAAATTGTCTCAAATAATTATGAATTATTACAATTCTATTTACGATCTTCACTCATTATCTGGCTGATGTGTATATTTGGTAGTAATTGTATGAAGAGGGTTTTCATAAGTTATGCCTGTTGCCCAACACCTTTAGTCAGCAAAATCATGACAATGAAATATTCTAAAATAAAAATAAAAAAGGAAAACAAAAACAAACAAAAGTGAACGTGTAGACTTACCCATAGCATCACAAAATCCATCATAGTTTTCAGATTCTCCTTTAGTTTTGTCATCAACCCAGTGGCCTTGAAACACCGACATTTTGTATAGTATTCTTTATATAGTCTTTCAGAAAATTTGAAAAGTGTGCATCCAAAGTTAAAAGTGGAATCGTTCACAAATGCATATCCACATACATGTTCTCATTCATTACCTAAATGGATGCAGGTTTACAGGTAAAATAAAGACTTACGTTAAGTTCTATAAATATTATCAAAATTATTTACAAATCGTCGGCTATACTAGACACTAGCATAGACTTTTTAAACTCTCAGTTAACACACATAGGTTAAGTCGTTCAGTTATCGTGGCCAAATGTCTATTTCCTAATCCTACGTGTAACCAGACTTAATCTCAGTTAATCTCCTTTAACTCTTTCATTAATGTATTGCTGATAGAAAAACTACTGCTTTGTTTTGAATATTTGCTAAAGAATACTTAACCAATACACAATACACACATATTCCCTTTTCGGAAACAATTACTTACAGTAATACTTATTAAGTTTCAACTTATAACTTACGTGTATATTAGTCCTCCAGTGTTCTGAACACGTATCAAAAGTTATATTTTGGAGTGTGAAGGCCATAAAAAACAACACAAAACGTAGAAAAAAAATTCAGTTTGGAAATAAGGAAAGATTTTTTTTTAGTAATAATACTATCAATAATATTGGTAAAACAATCAAGCCAAGTGTTCATGGTATGTGGATGTCTGGGAGTTTGTTTGAAAACGACTAACTTACGGTTTACTGGTTGCTCGGTTTGAAATTTGTTACAACCTAAACATCTGATAATATTATTGGCGCTATGTGTAGTGTAGTTTCCCGAACAATATGAGTAACTGGACAGGACTTTCGATGTGGAATAAGAGTATTGAAATATTGAGGAGGAAATAATTTGTAAATTCAAAATTTCAAAACGTGTTTGATAGTGATGTCCATTTCGCGTCTATCATATTTTAAAGACGACCCCGTATGCATACAAAGACGACCCCATATGCATACAAAGTGTATGCTTGTATTGTTGTTGAGCGTTTCAGGAAGCGAAGCTATGATGTCTTTGTGCAAGCCTCTTCGCGCTTATGCCGACTTGAAAGTCAACAATATACTGTTGAAGCACTAAGGAGAAACCACAACATGTCAGCGACAAAAACTGTCTTTGCACCGCTACAATTCTAAGAGTTGTCTTGTCAATAAAGACCAAATGTGAGGTAGCATAAAGAGTGGGTCAGGCGAAAAAGTATATTTGCTTTCAGAGAAAAGATCACATCCTAAACTAAGTTGCTTCTTGTCGGCAAAATCAATCATGCGTATATTTGTACTTAAGTTAAATTTCTTTCAATCAATATTCTAACGACATAAACATTGCGAGTTGGTAAAACATTATTCGATACTTCACTGCAAGATAGATTGTCTGGAATGTATTAATTGTGGAGTCGTTGTTTATCAGACTTCGAGCATGTCGTGCCTCAGCCATTACATTGAGGACGTTAACAATATCCCGTGATCTTGAGAGACACAAGGTACACGTGCTCTCATGTGGAGACAATAATGAGGTAAACTTCATTGATCGAGGTAAAATGCGATTGAGCATGCCGATCACAAAATACAGTAATCGCGTTACTTTGTCAATTTAGGTTACATGTCCCAGAGGAGGGCAAAAGGTCGTAAAGATCGCAAATATCATGATGGTACATGTTTATAGTGCTATCACACTGAAGTATACCAGCAGAACACCCCACCCGTTCATGCTTTACCAACACCAGGCTATTAAGTCGTTACACAACCATAATGTTAAGCACTAAAGAGAGATGGAGACAAATTTCAACACCTTCATTACAAGGGACAATGCTCAAACAAATTCCAAGATGGAATGAAAAGATTTTTTTCTTAGAAAGAGATCGAAGATAATATCGCAAATTTAGTCGCCTCTTGCGTGAAATGGGGACGGCAGATACTATTGTGTGATTAAGGCGTTGGGTTCTGTGGCCTCATGGGTAAGTTTTATTTACAGTTCAGCTCAACTTTGCTGTAGTACAACGGCGACTGGTTTTTCTATTGTTAAATAAAATGACTGGTAAATACAGTGTAGTTTTGAGTGGCTTTGGTTTAGTACTTAATTGTAATAGCCCTGTAAAGAAAACGTCAGAACTAGTTCCGAGCTGTTTAAGGATGCATGCAAGAACGTATTAAAGTCTCCCAAATCCTCGCACTTGAACTCGAGGTCGCAATATACATGTATAACATTGTTTGAGTACACTGTATTTACAGAGCTATTTTTTTTACAAACATCATACTCCAGTCCTTCGATTATCTATAACACAGATATTTACAAACCTACACGGATTTTATTGTTAATCGTTTACACATGTTACAGTGTACACAAAAGGTCCATAATAATTAGCTTACCCAAACTTAACGGTTTTACAACACTGTTATATACGTGACAAGTCTGGATACGTACTGGCTAGGTCTCCCAAGTAACCAACACAACACTAACGATTTACCCGGCTATATATTTATTGTTTACAAAACGATAGAAAATTGAGAGTAATGCAGAGGTAATGAAAATAAAATTTCCTTTCTGACGGGATGAGATTTTAGACGATTCATTGCTGTGACATAAAGAGACGTCCATTTAATGTTTACGTTTATAATATATATATATAATGTGTGTCCGTACACTAGGGCTGGTCACGTGTTGCACCTTGCAAACAGAAAACCTTTAAATCTGAGTGTATGCAACTATTTAGTATCTTTTCTACACGTGTCCAACCTATAGATTTATGGCTTAATTAGGAAATATACTTAGTAGTACTCTTATATATTTAGAAAATAATTACAACCTACCTCACATTTATCTGTAAATCATTTCTAAATTGATATGAACCACGATTGAACCGCTAATATGTGCATAGATGAACGATAGCAAAGCTAGTCTAATTTTCCTGTCGCGCACACTTCGTGCGGATATCATGTAGCGTTGTGAGATCCCACAACTATAAGAGAAAATCATACAGTTTATACATCATTGTCGCAGTTTTGCAATGTCTGGTTTTGATGAGGTTTTCAACATATTTTATTTTGGATCTTATTAGATCATAAAGATATATTATTTCTTTTGTTCAGGATAAACTTTAATTTGAAGATTGAGACGGGTACAGGTCATAAAAATTCCGGACGCATCGATCTGGGTGGTGATCAGGTTAATATATTATGTGTCGGTATCAGAATTGACATTGTAGGCCATGCTCCCAGGTAATAATTCACTCTTTTCATCATGCATAGTAATTTGCATTGCCTTGTTACTCTGCACCCTCTAGCTTGTCGATAAATTTCAATTACGTAACAACTGTTTTGTATTCGGTTTCTTTTTTAAAATTTAAGTATTTGATTTGCTTGGTATTATACATGCATTATGCAAAGGAAAGGTACGTTTACATGTATGATGTCATCCAACTGAGTCTTCTAAAAACATGTTATGTTACGTTCTCAAATACACACGAAGGTGTAACAAAGGTATATTAATCACTCTATCAGTTCGTTGGATACAACCGGCTAAGATCGCTTTTAAAACGGTACAAACACATCCAGATCTACAACTCATTTCAGTTTGGTGATCACCGGCAAAATACTACTAAAAATAATAAGTTATAGTTCATACTTCACGTCTTTTTGAAATAGAAAGTTGTGTTTAGGATAACTATAATGCAGATTTAGTTAATTTTCACACCATAAAACAGTTCATAAAATAGGACACTTATTTGGTTGTCAATACGTCAAGGTCAAAAGCATAGATATTATGCAAATAAATGCAATATTTAAAAAGAAAGTAGCAAGGACGTTATAAATCATTCGTAGCCAATGGATTGAATGTTCCCAAAGGTACTCCGTAGTAAACGTACTCCGACAAATGTAATTAATACCGAGATTTACTACATTTGAAAGGTGTTAAACACCTGTGTGTCTCAGGTTCGGTACGGGTAGGCTGTACATTGGCTTTGACCTAGTCAGGCCCCGGTCTATCTACGTCAGTAGTTATGAACTTATTGTTATGCTGACCAGGGTCAATTTATTCTCACATCCAACTTCGAACAATGACTAGCTCTTATAGAGCAAACTACACAGCTGAATAAAATATTGAATCAATAGCACCAGATTACGACGTTACGCTTCATGACCAAATATGCCGGGGTAAGGCTTTTGCCAAGTTGCGCATACATAAAAATGCCTATTTCTTTCGATTGTACAAAAGACACACAAGAGAATAACATCTTTGCATATTTAAAGTAAGATACAGTAGATCAAAACAACTTGTTTAACTGCACCATATAGCTGTTTCGTCCTTCAAGGACTCGTCAGTAGGATATCATAAGTTTAGCAACTCATAATTTGTCTACAGAAACTTAATGTTTCAGCACTGGGTTACCTATAATTCGTATATAATGATCGATTAACTGATTAAGCTGTAGTTGAACCGAAACAAACTGTCTATCTTGTATACGCAGTATTGGGTACAGGCGAGTCGATATCATATATTAGGGGAGCATAGGTTAATCCACTTCTAACGTTTGCAATTTTGGTAATAACACATACATATACGTGTAATGAACAATCTAAATATTATATTATCATTTACAAATTAGGCTAACAAGATTAAAGAAATAAGATCACCAGAGTGTATTTAATAAACATCCGGAGAGAATGAAAGCTGACACACCTGACAAAATGTGATCACCCGGCAAGCCATGTTTGATCTCACCTTGCATTGTACTGTAGCTGTTAAACCAGGACCTGTCTACAGATACCGCACAAAGTTACCTGTGTTTTTCTAGTCATATTACAGCATCAACAATGTCGAAATTCTTTGGACAATGGGAGATGGACGATATTTGCGAGAAATCTGAGAATTTCATGGCATTTTGTGAAGCTGTGAGTAAGTAACACGCCTACATTTAATACATTTGCCGGTAGGTTTGTGGAAATGTCTATTTAAATTTGCAGGAATGTTTCTTTTAAATGCGAAGATTGTCAATATTTGTACAGCTAAACACGTATCCTTCCAGTGTTATTCATGTAGGTAGGTGGAAAACAACATTAACCTGTTGTTGTTTCTTGACTACGGTTCTCTTCTCAATTCCATAGTCAAGCATAAAAACCTTCTGACCTTTTTTCATTCAGAAACGTTTACCATAAAAATGTTTGAGAAATTCATGATAAACTCTCAAATCGCTCATTAAATTAAGATAACGCGTATAAAATATCAGTATCATTCAAATAACTGTGAAAACTGATTATATATATCATGATATAACATATTACACGTAGTGTATACAGTGCAACTCTCTTGAAATTAAAGAACATTTGCTTCAAACTATTTCTTTTTGACATCGTCATTTTTATCTTTACGTTGAGCGTGTATTTGATCGTAAAAGGCATCTAATTGTTCTAATTCGCCATTTGTCAATACTCCCTTCCCTCAATTTCATTTGTTGTTTGTTACAAACTATCCTGATAATACCAAGCTTTAGAGTCGAGAACCCATGGAAATATACAACAGAGTGCATTTTACGCTCCCTGTGTGTACCTTAGCATTGCAAATGGCCTAATGTCAGTATAAAGGAACTGGTGGGCTGTTGTGCTACATTGCCCAGAAAATGGGCCCGTCGTCCATGGACACTGGGTTTAAATAACCCAGGCTGCTGCTTAAATACGTTTTGACCCCGATAGGAAAGTATTAACTTATAAAGTCACTTTTAGTTTTAAATTCGACCATTTATTTATTGCTCTGCCAAATCCAAGTGCTACTTTTATTAATATTTTGAATACAACTCTCTCTGGCTTTTTGTGGGGCGGGAAAAAGGATAAGGTAAAAAGAAATATTATAACGAAGAACTATACTGAAGGTTGTTTAAAGATGATAATTATTAAAGTTTTTATTTGCGCATTAAAGTTAGGCTGGCTTTGGAGATTTTTCGTAAACCCCTAAGTTTTGTTGTCATGTATTGAAGGCTTGGGACCAATTGTTGATTTGTTAAGACAAAGATAGGCAACTCTTTCCTCTGATGACTCCTCTATGGTATAATTCTAAAATCTATTTTTCACAAAGACTGGTTCACTAAAAGTATTAGAGTGGTGAATTACATGATTAAAGATAAACGTTCAAGTATGTTTTATTCTTTTAACGAATTTATTGAGAAGTATGGGTTAGAAACTTTCTTACAGAACTTATAAGTACTTTTGGAAGCACTACTTATCCCTTTTACTATCAACAAAGAGTCTTTTGTATTTGGTTTTTTATCTGTGAGAAATGTGCATCATAATATTGACAATGAGATTAATATAAATATTAAGCAGTATATTTATAATACTAGGTGTTTAAACACTACTCTGAACATATCTACTCCTGTAAACTAAATAAAGGATCATCATAAAGCTAAAAATATATAGCAACTGGTAAGGGAGATCACTCCCTTGAACGTTTCAATGAACAGTGGAGAAACTGGAAAAAATACTCTTACTATAAATACATTTTTGTCCAGGGCAGGCAACACATTTTCTTTCATCCAGTAAGCGTGACTTTTCTTTTTGACACCATTTCCCCAAGACTCATGGCACGTGAAGATATTTTTTCTATCTTGCATAGAACTGCTTACCCGAAGACAATTTCTCTTGTCCTTCATTTTACTTTGCCTGTTTCCACCACTTCCTTTTTCTATCTTATCTCTACCTACTTCTACTATTTTCAAAAAAAAAAAAGAAAAAAAAACTTGCTCCAAAGTAAATAGAGAGCTGTCTCTCATGACTTTTAAGTGTTTAAACTGAAGATCGGTGTTACAACTGCAGGATGTTGATGAATGTTGCAGCATTGTCTAATGTCTTTGGCAGTGATAGGTTGTTGATGGTAATTTCGATGAGGATGATAATGGCAATGATAGGGAATTTGATGATTTTTAAGTGTTTATGATGATGAAGACGATGATGTCGCAGCCCACGGACTGAACCCAAAGCCTCCCTTTTCTGACCAGGTAGAAAGTTCAACTTAAAGCCTTCCTCGTAACTTCTGATCCACAAAATATGACCCACTACTCTTGCCTCTACACTAATATCCTATTCCATGCAATAATCGAGGTCTTGGTGTAAAACGTATTATTTTCTGATGTCTTGCAGAAATGACAAAAGAGGAAATAGAATACTACAAGACGATGCGAGAAAATATAACTTACTCTGGGCAGGGTGAAAATTGGACTTGCGAGATTGCCATGGGCGACACGAAAAGCAAACACCAGTTTACACTTGGAATAAAAAATCCACCAGAGAAGGGCATTGATGGGTCAATCTTCAGTGTAAGTCGCTTGAATATTTGAATATTTTTTGTAGATTAAGCTCGCTCCAGATACGGTGCTTCTTCATAAAGTTAACAACTCGCTGAATTAAATGTTTCCTTCAATCAAGCAAATCATTGCACACATAACTTTGCTGTCACACGAGCGCTCAAAATGGCAAAATGATGCAAGAATGATAGGATTTGTATTGATGAAATGTATATAACCAACCTACTAAACAAACAGCACAAATGCTAAATAACTATCTACACGAATGAATTCTGCAATCTTCAAATACCCATGGCATGTCTGATGCCGTAACGATCTATACTGTAACCGGCTCACGATGAAGATTTCAACACATTTTAGCTCCACTACGAAGAAACTGACACATTTTTTGGATATTTTGGCATTGTTTGCTTAATTGATGAAACACATCTTTTGCTAATTGCTAATTTATGTTAGTTTCAAGTATACAGTTACTAGACATTGCGCTCCGATTTGCAAGAGGTGTAAAATGAAATAAGGAGTTGTGAAAAAATCCCCCTGATACGCAGTCTCGCTGTCTTGGGTTTGGTACCATGCAGTATGACTATGTCTAGAGATTATCAATTTTGGGAACATTTCGACGTTCAAAAAAGACCTTAATTCAACCAAAATGATTACCATCCCAGTATGGTATTTATGATTAAACAAAGTATCGCTGTTGCTATGCAAAACAGATCGACAATTTCTTTGCCAAACTTTCTATTATAGATTGAACCTAAGCTTGAAGCGCCAGACAGACTTGTAGAGATATCCACGACAAGGCTTCCTAAACACGATAAAGATGTGGTCACCGAGACCGTGCGGATCTTGACCGCTCCAAATAAAATGAAATCCGTATGTATTAAAATTTACAGCTCGTTTGGAACAATCCGACCTCGCTATTGATTTTATTTTATCAATCAAAAATGGAAAATATCTAAAATTATGCGTGTTTTTTTTATTTATAAAAGTGTTCATTTTCGGTTAAAAAGCAATTGCAATGAGAATTCAGATTACTTGGATAATCTTGAAAGTTTGAAACAAAGAATTTTTTGTGTAGCTTCCAATCGATATCTTTACTGACATTAAACAACGATTGTACTTGTTTTGTTCTTTAAATCTGGATTTACTTTTTTCTCTATCAAACAGTGCATCAACAAACAATAAGTAACATACGTATGTAACAAACACACGCGGAACAGTAGTAATTATTTTACACGGGGAAGATAATGTATTTTTTCTAGGACCAATGTCAGAACGGAAATTCTTCCGTCAGTCTACCGTTATGATTTAAATATACATTATTTCACTGACATATTTCTTTCCCATTAAGAGTATTCAGTCGAAAAGCATGTCTCTAAATGTTTTGTTGAAAGATATCATTTATCTCTTTTGCAGATTGTAAGAGACGTTGCATCAAATGTCTCAATGACGTTTTACGCAACACGGAAGTAATGTTTCCCATTAAATACTGAACTTCCATGCATAATGCACTAATGAAGATGGGACATTATTGAATTCCTGCGAATCACTAAAAGTTACTTAAGTGTACTAACGTGACGCAACCAAAATTGGAACTCATTATAAAGAAATAAGTAAACAAATTCTAACGAGTGTTTGTGTTTCTCTATACCTTTATCTTTCATTTTTTGCTTTGGTTTCATGTCAGCAGAGCATGTTTCTATATATATAGAACACAGTAAGGCATGCGTGATTTAAAAATGCAAATCAGCAGGTAGGCGTACCCAAAATGGAACTCCTTTTGAAGGAATGCTCTTGAACATTTTTTTCACATTTTATAAACGTTCACTTTAAAAAAAGAGATTCTGTGTCAAACATTTTAGATGTGTTTTTTGAGTTACGTTACATTGTTAGGTGGCGTTATCTTAAACATTGTGTGATTAAATAGCTAAAATGTTCATGCTTTTATTATCAGATCACATTGATAATAAATGGTTTTGCCGGACTGTTATGTAGTTTTCTTTTTACATTATTCAGTTATTTACACATACGTATGCGAAAACGAATTTGTTTAGAATACTCAAAATAGCACAGTAAAATTTTGCAACTTCTATTGAATAATACAAGGTTTTTTTTAATTGGTTTGTTAAACTCTTCGAAAAATTCAAAAACAAGTGTGCCAAGAGATATTACAAATTCATATAGGTGTGCCATTAGTTTGTTGGAAAATCTTTCTATCAATCTCGAAGAAGTTGTCAACCAGAAACACGATCATTTTGGTGATTTCGTCATCCGTATATATCCGAGAGAGAGAGAGAGACAGAGAGAGAGAGAGAGAGAGAGAGAGAGAGAGAGAGAGAGAGAGAGAGAGAGAGAGAGAGAGAGAGAGAGAGAGAGAGAGAGAGAGAGAGAGAGAGAGAGAGAGAGAGAGAGAGAGTTCACAGTTCACCTTTATTAGAAAAGAAAGTTATCACCACGAATCTAAAAATCTATACCTCATGTCTCCAAGGCTTCAACATTTAGACCCTTATTTAGGCCCTTAGCATCACTTTATAAGGAAACAAACAGCTGTATGATGAAGTTTAATTCATTGTATGCCTCTCCTGTAATTCTTTCACTATGTTGTTCACTTGTGTCTTAAGTACAGCCAATAAGAGAACGGATGCGTTCTTTCAAATCTGAATGTGAAAAGCATAGGGTGTTGAAAATTGATCTAAAGTTCTTCAGAATATTTTAAAACCCAGGTATATGAATTCAGCTTCTTGAGTTATTATAATCACAATAAAACTGTAACCCAGATTTTATAGTACTAAAAATGGTAGTAAGTTTTGTAAGGTATGATTGAACTGCTTGATGAGTCAGCAATGCAACACTGTTTATATTGATTCTTGTGCAGTTTAGGAATCTAATGCAGCTTCGGAAAGACACACACATGCACTTGCCTTGCATACACCGAGAGATATTGAATGACCTCTGCTGTTGAAAAGACGTCAAACAATAAAACAATATAAACCAAACCATGACCACCAAAATTTATTCAAATGTAGAACTTGATAATATGATGAAGCAATGTGAAAAACACTTAATATGCAAACGAGTATTTTGATTTCAATAATGGTGAACGGCAAAGTTTGACATTTTGACCGATAAAAAATCAAAATCGTGCAAAGTGTTGGATATATTAAGCATATTGAGGATGTGTCGTGTAGAAAGTACACACATTTCATCGATAATTATCCTGAGGTGAGTCATTCAATGCATGTCAGTTATAAATACAGGTGATATTCAATATTACGTAATCTATTATATACTGATTTCGTCGGCCAGGTAAAACACTTGAGTGAAGGAGGTGTGAGAACTGAACGACATGCCCTGCAATATTTATTCATTTTCCCAAAATCCTAAATCAATCACATTGCAAAGTTGAATTTTACATGCTGCCCCCTCCCCCTCCCAACGTATATCTTGGAACCTTTATGTTTTCTTACTTTTCTACTTCACCATGTCCCCGTTGACAATGCTTCGAATTTTCCCCTTTCAGTTGACCATTTGCCCCTGTTATGTCTCTCCCCTGGCAGAGATATAACAGTCTTTAAATATATAGTTACTACTTCCTAAGTTCAGCATTCTGGCAATGTAATTACTTTTTGCCCATTGTCTATATATCGTGGCCAGATCGGGTGTCCTGCTAGAGGCCTTGGGTATACTTAAGCGAGGTAGCATTATAAAGTCATTAATGCACTATCGCAGGAAACCTTACATGAACATATCGTATGTCGCAACACCTGCGCTCATCTAGCACATTTAGAGGCCGTCCTTAAATGCTCCTGGTTGCTGATAGAACGTTCATCAATATCAAATAAATCATATTGGTACCTTTGGTATATTTGTTGTTATGGTGGCCATTGCTGATGCGTCTCAAAACGACGTCACCATAACTAGAAAACGAAGTAAAAAGCTGGCACACAGTAATAATTCCTACAAATAGTAACTCCACGAGGTTGCACATCTGGATGAATAAATGTTTCAATCAAAAACTTTTATAAAAGACTGAGATCCCTTTGTTAAGATACATGGCTTCTGCACACTGCATAACATTGATGGAAATTTACACAAATTATTATTACCCTCTATTGTCATACTGATTAGCGTGAATCTACGATTTTCTGATATATACACGGACTTGGAATTTATTTTCCAGCACCTTTACACTGTTAAATGTTAACTTTACCGCAACCATGAACAAAATACTGTTGTTATGCATTCCACAGAACATGATCAATATTATTATAAGAAATAAATAGTATGTTGTATCACTAGTTTTCTTGTGAAAATGCCATTCCTTATTATAACAAACATGTTAAGGGTGTTGAAAGTACCTTGACATTTTTTCTAGTTCAAATAATTTCATTCTGAGTCTCAGAATAAAGCAAAACCAATTTACGTATATAAATATGTATTTATATACATATATCCATTCTGCCAGCTCTTATTGAACTTATTGAACAGTCATTACATTTGAGGTACACGTCAGATTAAGCACTGTATGTGTAATTTACTTTGTAACCCATATTTTCACCCATGTTACGGAGTGACGTTTTATTGTACACGTATGCTAACCGGTTTCTGCCAAGTGTATATAAATATACAGGCTTTCCTTCCTTTAAGTAACCCTCACTGTTGAAATACTTGTTATCTGTCACTAGGTTAACCGTAATGGCCTGTCTTGTGAACTTATGATTTCCATATCATTTGTCGTCGAGTCTTTCCAAAGCTTCACTGTAGGTACTGTGGTATTTATCAAATAAATAGAAATTAATTATCGCATGATAAACTGATTATTAGATAATAATCAGTTGTTAAATATATGCACTTTCCACAGCAAAAAAATGTCATACCTAACAAAACGTTATCGCCCAGAATGCCATATTGATCTAACCATACACTGGACTTTAACCACACATTGTAAACTAGAACACTTCGGCGGACACAGGCCAAATCTGTGCAATCTAGTCAAGCATATTCATCATGGCCGAAACGTCCAAATTCCTGGGTCAATGGGAGATGGACGATCTTTGTGAGAAATCTGAGAATTTCTTGAACTTTTGTAAAGCTGTGGGTAAGTCAACTTTGTTTAATCTATAAAACTTGTTTATTTTAAACAAAGGGCAAACACCATGTCCTTCTTTGTAGAAATCCGAACTTGTTACAGGGTGTTGAAATATATAATTTTCATGTCAGCCTCAATATTGAAATCCTTGTCTTTTGAATACCGGGAAACTTGATCTTATTCTCCTTGTACATTTTCAGGAGTCTCCGTATTTGCTCATGTTTAGTTTATATATGTAGATATATTCTTGTCTTTGTTATAAACTACTACGCTCGAACATTGATTTAAGAAGTTTCTCTATTATGTCTTACCAGTTGTCTGTTCCTGCTATTCTACACTTCACAAATCTGTACAAACTGCCCAGTAGATAGGCTAATGATTTTTAGTAAGTATATAAGTAAGTTATAAATGATCAGATACGTTTACTTTACTAAAATTTTCTGAATTTGGAATGTGTAAGGGAAACAAAGGAGTCGTTTTGATAGAGACAGTGGCACTAACGGTGTTCTATGAATAGAGTCTCGAAAACTTGAGCAATGGTCGTGTAGCAAGAGCACGCTATCATCTGTCGTAGGGAAACCGACTTTTAATTTTGTAAAACAATAAAACGTTTGTACATGGTATAAGCTAGATGTATGAAACAAATAAAATCAACAACATAAAAACCCCACACAAACAAAGAACTGTTACTAAACTTGTCAACTGTTTCCTTTTGTCCTATTAGGGCTACACAGGAATGAGTATAATTAGTATACAGTCGAACTTAATAACTGTATCTGCTGCCTGATTGTATGATTGTAAGCAGTGACATTAAACATCAAGAAAATACGATCATAGTAATATAATCATAATTAACATTTAAACGGAGACTCCTGAAACAATACAAGGAAAATAAGACCAGATGTTCCGGAAGAGTAAACGTCTTTTGCTTCATCGACGACACATGTCATGTAAACCTTGGTCAATCTAAGTAAGTTTTGTCACATTCTCAAATGCGAACAAGGCATACAACAGGTAAACTTCCTCAAATCAAACACGTCCAGCTTCGTGTCGTACAAAGAAAAAGAATATTTCTCAATAATATCACTATAATGTCCTTAAAATTTCCCCATTGTTTTCAACCGCCTGCATCTATTGAACACTTATGTTACGAGTTTGTCAGTCAGTTGACGACTTCTTGCACGAAAAACGTGATAGTGGGTTACAAGTCACAGTTGATTACAAAGTCATAAGTTGGAGATGCAAGACTATTGTTATCCAGAAATGGAAAATTCACAGTAGGGTTATTGAAATCATCACGTATCGTTTTACGAAATGATCGAGATAAGCAGCTGATGAAGAAGAGTCTGTACTTTCTTTGATTTCCTGTTCTGGTAGATATATACAATGGACGTAGTCAATAAATTTCTTGTTCTTTAAAGACAAGACGTCATCAATATATCTGAAGATGAAATGAAACGACTTTTCAAAATCTTTGTTACCTGTTTTGATAAATTTTTCAATATGTTCATCCTCGTTTGAAAACAAAAACAAGTCAGCTAACAGAGGGGCGCAGTTGGTGCCCATAGGTATGCCAATAGTTTGTTTTAAGATATCACCACCAAACTCGACGAATATGTTGATAACCAGAAACTCGATCATTTTGATGATAAAAATTCTGGTATATTTCTTCTATGATTTGGATGTCCTTTTTCACTAAAAACGCATTAGTATAGTTCACAACCATATATCTCTAACGTCGTTCACCTTTCTTGGAGAAGAAAGCTCTCATAACAAGAGAACGAAGGCGTTGCTTTAGTTTACAATTGAGTATGGTAGTGTGCAAGGTGGAAAAATAAAATGTTCTTATAAAAGAAATGTTTTAACTTTAGGTCAGTATATTTTTCCTTTTCTAAAGATCTTTCTTCTTCCTAATGTTGCCCTTGAGACTGTCCCACATTTGGTCAGCACTGCAGATGGAGCATAAATATTGTACCATTGAATAGTGGTTGAATGCGATCAAACATTGGATATTTCTATTTTCTGCTTTTCTGGAGATCTTTCTCCTCTCCATTGTCTCATGTGGTTTGTTTCTTTCCCCTCACTGAGACATACTAGTCTTTACAAATGGTAGGACGTTAATCAGTACAAAACTGTACCCTCTTAACGCCCGTTTCTACGTGACTCTGCCTGTCATGTTTTGACATGGAAGAAAAATCCCAGATTCTGTACGGAATGGAAGAAAGTTTTAGTCGTCTCTCACGACGATACAGTGGAATACAAGAAACAGAAATCAGCAAAAAATCATTCTCATCCTGCCGGGGATAAGGACGCAAAGTCTATTAAAACAAATTAATATCTTCCTTTTATTATTGAGAATTGTGTACTTTCCTTGTCATCCAATATACACTGCTGTCAGCTTGTCTTTCATCGTCATATCTTACTTCGTTATTGTCCTGTTTTTCCACTTCTTGACGTGTTTTTTCTGATTTTATGTATGTCCTTTTCGGTTCGTTTCCTGAAGCCATGACACCGGACGAAATAGAATACTACAAGAAAATGCGTGAGACGATAGCTTACTCCGGCCAAGGTGACAAATGGATATGCGAGATTTCAATGGGTGAAAATAAAAGCAGGCATGAATTTACATTAGGAATTAAAAACCCACCAGAGAAGGGGATAGATGGGTCGACATTTTGTGTAAGTATTCCGTTCATATACAAAACAAAGATTAATAATCGTATTCAACCTTTTTCTGGCAAGACCTTTTACCGTATGTCGTTAATGTCTAATATATAGAGATGATAATGACTTTGATCTAAAGTACATTGTGAATTTCGTTTTAGTATAAAAATGTACCATATCAAAGCCGAAACTACTCAGGTTGAAACTAGAACTGTCCGAGGGCCAACCCAACCCCCTCCTCCTCACCCCACTGTGTCGTCACCTTCAGTGTTCCTACAGTAGAAGGAGCAGCCAGGATACATCGTTGCGTCTACAGACAGACGGATGGACGGACAGTCAACCTGATTATTGCTTAACCCCCCTTGCTTCGTTGCATAAATCTTAAAAATTCGTCAAAACAACCTGTGATATTTTCATCAACAATTCTTTTGTAGATTGAGCCGAAGTTAGAAACACCAGACAAACTCGTAGAGATAGCCACCACGAAACTTCTTGGACACGATAAGGAGGTTGTCACCAAGACCGTGAGGACTTTGACTGCTGCCAACAAGATGAAATCCGTACGTATGTCATTGATAGAACTATTTTCGTTTCCAATGATTAACGAAAGGTTCGATTTATATATCAATCACAGCAGTATCGTCAAATCTGGTAACAGATATTCTATGTTTTTTATGTGTCTTCATTAACGATAATCCAGGGGTTACAATCGCTTTCGCTCTCTTCACCCCTGAAACATGTCATGACAAAACTGAAAGCACAAGCGGAGTAATTTGATTGGTTCCATGATAAAAAGACTGACCAATCACAGGATGACACTCTCCCATTGGAGATTACAAAGGAGAAACACCCATCTTCAAAGCCATTACAATATACCGCTATGCGACCTCGAGATCCGTTTGATGTACATCAAATGACAAAATTAGTCTTTCTGTTTTGTCCACAAGGTGTTGCATATGGAACCTTCAATTTTGCCATGACATGTTCCAGAAGTGTAGAGAACAAAAGTGATCGTAACCTCTGAGGTCACGATAATGATGCATCATGGGATTATTTTATATGTTTACCAACATATGAAGTGACATTTTTTATTATTAAACCGAAGTCTGTTTGCGTCCTTAAAGTATCGTGTCAGCGACTACTTTAATACCTGTCATGAAAGACAGAAGTGCTTAATATCAATGCTTACAAAAAACAATTGTTAATGTTTTGTTTTTAATTTTGTTAAGTCTACAATTGACGCCGATTTTTTCTATGTGTTAAAGGGAGATAACTTTATTTCAGATTGTTACAGATGTAGCGTCAGGTGTCGCCATGACATTTTATGCAACACGGAAGTGATAACATTGTGAAATATAGAACGTTCGCGTGTATTCCATAGATTAAGACGAAACATTCCTATAAGTGATGTTGGTGCTTAAAGAATTCATTATTAGTTTGCAGTGAAATTTGTATGTTTACATTTTGATACCATGTGATAACGAAAGATTGGAAAATAAATATCATACAGAGAATGATTGTGTTTTAATTATCACTTACTCGCATATAATCAAAGTCAATTTCATGACAATTCAGCATTCACAAATATTGACTTAATCGACTGTGCGTTATTGTTTCCTAACTTAAGAATTGTCGATACTGATTTTACTAACAATGAGTGTAGCTAGCGTAACTAAGATACGCTGAAAACAACATTTCATTGTTGTATCTACGGTAAATATTATGGGATGTTTTATGCAAATTCACTGACAATGGGAATCTCAGGTAAATATCTGAATGTTTCTGTCTATATATTATGAGTTTGTAGTTCTGTTTATTAGAATACTACGGAGCCCGTTAACTGACATGCTCCATACTTATTTTATTTCGTTTTTTCGAAATAATATTTCGTTTAAACGAATCATTATTTCGAAAAAACGAAATAAAATATTATTTCGATAAAACGAATTATTATTTCGAAAAAACGAAATAATAATTCGTTTAAACGAATTATTATTTCGAAAAAACGAAATATTTCGAAAAAACGAAATAAAATAAGTATGGAGCATGTCAGTTAACGGGCTCCGTATAATACTTACACATTATCATCTATTTCCTTATATGTCAGTGTCTTGCAAAACGGATTCTCTACGCCGAAACGAATTTTCGAGCGAGTTGAATAGCTTACTGATAAAAGTTGGCAACCCCTTGTTGAACATGTGTCTAATGTTGACAGAGACCTGGCGCATGTTTGCCTTAACCTTTCTGTAGTTGTTAAATACCACCACTTTTGTGTCCCTTTAAGGTGTTACTACGCAAAGGGATAGTGTAGGGTATTCAATACTGATCTGTTCCAGTACAGGTAGTGTTGTAAAATTAGACTCTTCTACGGAAACTAGCGTACACACACCTGGTCTAACAAGTGACGCGTCTGAGACAGTTCTGCAGTGCAGTGCAGTGCCTCCATATCTATTGCTGACTAATTATTTTGCAAATTGATAGCATGCACACACATATTGACAAATACATGTACGAGAAAAATCAGAAATATATTTAACACCGTGTTTATCTGACCAAAGGCATGAATTAACTTAAATAAACCTCATAAACATTTATGATAATTTAAGGATTAATTACTGAAACCAAACGCATGATTGGTCCGGTACTTACAACATGTGAGCCATCCCATAATACCTCACTATGACAAGGGACACAATTCGATGTACAATACCTGAAGATTGCGCTATACTGTCATTTACTACATATTCAATTTTAAAGGATTTATTTTAAGTTCACTAAGAATAAACTCGTTTGAAATTGATAAAATGTTCCGCGACACACTAAATTTGAATAACGCGTACAAAGTGTATTACGGACATCAACTGGGGACCAGTCTCAACTACCCAATAGGAAAAACGAGAAAAGAAATTGTTAGAAAAGTAAAATCGAAACAAACCTTTGATATGCTTCCCCCTTTCAAAGCAACTAAAATTGTAATTTAAGAAAACCTTTTCCATTACATAGCATCTTGTCTTTTTGCATAAATCCGTGATGCTAAAATGTAGGTAAATATGTTTCTCATTTGGCCATTCTAGTGTCTCTATAATGAATGAGAGTGATAGTTACAACTACAAAGCGATACAAGGATACAACACTGGATATTAGACTGAAATTTGAAAATAAATAAATTTCGCGATTTTCATATATCTGACAATTTTAGAAGAACGTGAAATAAATGTGTATATTATCATACAGTATATTGGAAAAGAAACGGTTTATTTCAGGGAGTATGTCGTGGAAAAGATGCTAGTTTTAATGGCTTGTATGATTGGTGAAATGCTATTTTGTAGCGTAGCAAAGGACACGGTTCCATTGGAGTATGAGACTGGGACAGGGGAGACAACTCGAGTTAGAAAGGAAACTTTTAACCGATAGATATTTTGTCAGTGTCTGACAACCGACAACAATTGTCTTGAATCGTAAAATTATAGTTTTAATTTTTGTTTGATAGTTCAGATGAACATCTTAATATACAGATATAAGTACGTGATGCGAGCAGTGTTAAATTATCTATCTGCAACTGTAGCATATGCTATAAAAATATGGCACCCTGTATCGACTGTGATGTCGGTAGACAGGACAATTTTTACAATGCGTGTTTTTCATAAATAATATAACAGTTGCGATATTCTTTTCAGTTTATGCCTTTTTTTCTTCTATTTTTCATCGTTCGGCAAGAATGCGTTTTTCTCTTAGCCAAATGCAATGTAATGCAAATTTGGTGATAACTTTTCGTGACCAGCGGTCAAAATTGTCCATAATTTGCCTTTGATTTATATTTTCATCATTGACACTGAATAAATCCGGTGCATCCTATTATCGTAAACTTTAAAAAAGAAATTTATCAACAAATGCTCGCCACTTTTGTCTTTCTTCGCCCTCGCCAAAATGCGGCTTATATTTTAAGACAATCACTATGTATTATATTTATCCTGAAATACTCTGAAAATTCTGACTATCGAAATTTCAACAATTTGCTAGGTTTGTTTACCTAAGGTTGATGTTAGGTCTGATTACGCACGCCAAAAATAGTTACTCCGCACTTGCACGAAAATATAGTTCCACACTTCATTGGATATAAAAAAGCAATACATTTTCGTAAATGAACTTGTTTGTTACATTACATAAAATCGCTTATTTAAACAATTATTGATATTTATAAATGAAACATTTAAAAAAAATCAAAAAGTAATTCTGTATAATTAATGCACGTGCTATGCAGTAGCTACTTACCACCACTGTCGAATACAACAAAAATATGTCTGGTAACCTGATGTATTCCGTAAACGATGGTGTCACGATACAGAATAAACATGTACATGTATTTGATAACATATTATCAGATGTATGAAATTACGAAATGTACTGAATTATAGGTCTATTGTGCCTCTCTATCTGAATTTAGACTTTTCTTTCGATCACTTCGGATTTTTGCCTCAGTCGTCATCTAGGTTTAACACTTAGGCTCTTTGCATCACTGACGAGTCCTAGAAGGACGAAACAACTGTATGATGTAGCATCACTGACGAGTCCTAGAAGGACGAAACAACTGTATGATGTAGCATCACTGACGAGTCCTAGAAGGAAGAAACAACTGTATGATATAGCAACACTGACGAGTCCTAGAAGGACGAAACAGCTGTATAACGTATCATCACTGACGAGTCTTAGAAGGACGAAACAGCTGTATGATGTAACATCACTGACGAGTCCTAGAAGGACGAATTAATTGTATAATACAATCATATTATTTCTTTTTTAATCTACTGTATCTTATTTAAAATATCACCAGTGCTATTCACTTGCATGTTTTTAAACAATAATCTTTCTAGGCAAAACGACAGTACACAAATTGTGGATGAAAGATTATACCACGCATGGTGACAGAGGATAGTGAACAGGAGACAGTTTGTAGTGGAGGCAGGTATTTTTTCTTAATCATTTTCCCCCACCTTTTCTTGTCGATGTTTTGTTTTGCCTCGATTTTCACTCAACACATATACTTTCCTCGCATATGTGGGGTAAGCCATCCGGAAATGGGAAATGAGACTTTAAACGATGTGAAATGAAACCAATCCTTCCTTTCTTCCTGCAAGTGCTTCGTTTTTAAAATCCCATTCAGAATACCATTGACTTTTTAAAATGCCTTTTCCCTCGTTTCTACTGGTTTAGCCAAAAGCGACTATGCGTGTAGGCAGAGACTTATAAACATCACTAGTGTAAGGGAGTTAACTCAAATCAATGCCAGGGTTGTTAACATACAACAGGGCTCAAGAACTGATTGTTGAGAAAAAGGGAATAATATAAGACTCTTTCAAATGCGAAGGTTTTACCATATTTTGTAACCCCGAGGGTGGAATATCCCTATCCTACATACACACATAATGAAAGAGTATTTTTCTCTCATATCTTTACCAAAATTTTGGGAAAAGGACAGTCGGTCGCCCATTACCTTCATTTTTTTCATTTTTTTAATCCAAAGTTTTTATAAAAAACGAACTGGATATTCTTAACGATCATACCCATATTTTGCAAACTTTCAATTTGCTGTCAAATTTCAAACCATTTTCCGGTATATTGCAGGATGAATATATTATTCGCAGATGAAACAAAAAACAAAAATGATCTCTGTGTGACTACATAGTATGTGTAAGTAAATATCCGCGAAAAGAAATTGTTCCGTCAAATACTTCAAAGAAATCAACAAGGAACGGATTTTTATAATTCAACATATAGCTTTATCATCAAAATAACATATTTGATCATTTTAAGAAATATATCAATGTATCTTTTTACTGTTTTAACATTTTTTCAAAATACTGTGACGCTGACATGACGTCACCATAGTCAAAGGAATTCCATTCATAAATTCAAGGCGTGACGTCACACGATCTCCTACTCCGAGGAGTAGCTGTCGCTCTCGATCACCATGATTCGACGACGTTTGGGTGGTGGAACATTTGTGGTGATATTTACGGTGATTTGGCAATTTTCAATGTGAGAACCAGCAAACAAGGATTCGATGCGAGTTTCAGATTGTTTCTGTGATACAGGATTGTAGGTGTTAACCGTGTTTTCTTGTTGTGATGGCGATGGTAAACACACTGTGACATCAGATGTAGGCCTAGTAAGTGTTGAAGTTGATGAAATGGTGGCAGAGGATGGTGTTCGGTTTGATGGAATTAATTCGGAGCTTTTTGTGTTTGACAACATATTGAAATCTGTCATTCAGTGTCCTGTAATTATTCATCGACTGTGTGTTTTTACGACCCGTGACATAAACCTGCAAGCTATCGGGTACATGGTTATCGGTCATTTTTTGTACAAGGGATTTTCGGACGCTGTAAGAGTTGTCTCCCCTGAACACATTACTCCGCGCACGTGTTTGCCCATTTAAGATAGAATTTTCTTACATAGCTATCTTACATGGGCAAACTCTATCCAATATGGCGGGATATGACAGAAAAACAAGAAAACTTTGGTGAAAGTCTTGAGCAATTTCTGAATACTGAATGCAATGCTTGACGTCCAAGATATTGTATTTACTGCAAATGAATTGGACAATTGCCTGTAAATGTTTGGATGAGAGAGTCGCAATATTTTTGTTTCAGCTGTCAATCCACTCATGAAGTTATATACCTAATTCGTTAGACAGAACATTTCTATCTCTGAAATGATAATTTAATGTCACTTTTCGCATTTATTATGTTATTGATATATTTACATTTGTATTGACTCTTCTCATTTCTGAATTTTAAAGATTTGCATATCAAACGAAAATGTAAATATCAGCATAATGATTGCGCATAAGGGCACTAAATCATCATTTCAGAGACAGTAATATTTCTGCTCGCTGGAGGTAACCTGCAACATTTCAATGAGGGCTATTTGAGTTGTTGGTTATAAGACCAAAGCATGAAATTGTCACTGTCTTCTTGATTTGTTTTTGTTTGTCGTCTTCATCGTTTGTCATACTTACGCATAGCTTGATGTCATCGGCAAACTATTAGTTTGAAACAACGTCAGTAACATTGTTTAGGAAAATTAAAAACAGAATCGGACCGAATGCATTGCCTTGCGGAATGCCGTAACAACCACGGGCCCAGTCAGAAGCCTCCCCGTTTGATAACACTCTTTATGTTCGAACAGGAAATATTTTATCAATCCTAGAAACTTTGCTTTGGTTCCATATCCATGAAGTGTGTCGAAAACTTTTGTAGTCCAAGTATAGTGCATCAATGCTGTTTTTGTTGTCTGACTGTTCAGTTCAAATATTCATTATAAAGTTTAGTTTAAACATATTTTATTGCCAAAACAACAAGACAAATGGATTGGGCACAAGTTATATCAACATTATCGACGCCCTCTCCCATCAATATACATATAAATTTTAAGGCAATGGCATACAAGAACAACATAATGAAGTATGATATACATGTAACAATTAACACATCATTATAATTTTATACCAAGCTGGTTTCTTATCTTAAAGTGTAAATCTATTGCTGGACCTTATGTAAATTTGCACTAGATTAAAGATATTTTTATTAAGTTTTAACGGTAATTGTCTATCCCCAGAAAGTAGTAGTTCTATGTCAATGTCATGATTAATATTTGATGCGTTTAAATTATTCAGCATTGTTAGTCTCTGATTTTGATAATTGTGACAAACAAAAAAGAAATGATGTACATCTTCACAGGCAAATTATAAAGATCAGTTAGTTGACAGGCGAATAACCTTTCCTAACACCATGTTTAAGTGTTTGCTGTTTAGCTTGTTTTCATCCATGTGTTCAACGATTTCGTCCCTCACTAACTTTCAAAGACTTTTGATGCAACTTTTCTGCTTTTTTCCCAAAGATAGCTAATAAATTGGTAAACGTTCAGACCTTTGGTACAATATAGCTGTCAGAGTGCATGATCCACTTCGCAGTGTCACACAATAAATTCTCATTATTGAATAAAAAAACAAAGATATTGTTTGAAGAGAATTTCTGCCAAGAACGTTTTTTCCCTCCACTTTTTATGCCATTTGACCCATTTGGTTAAGATGACCATTGGTCATTTCTATAATGTTTCGCCTGTCGTCATGTCATTTTTATTTCTTGTTGCCTCTCCGGGATTTCAGGGATTTGGTTTTAAATTTTGTCTGTCATAAGTCTAAACAGATTTCAAACAAACATGGCCCGAAACACTATTCGATGAGGAAAATCTTAATTAATATAACTGATTCTAAGGGTTCTATATGTTATTATGTGTCGGTGATTTTAGTATATGATCAGTCATCACATTTGGAATATTGTTCTCTGAAAAAAACGCAAAAAAAAATAATTTGATGGCCAGTGTGGGGGTCGAACCCACGACATTCGCGTTATTAGCACGACGCTCTAACCGACTGAGCTAACCGGCCTTGTTGACAAAGGGGAGGATTTGTAAAATATATAAAATTCACTTTTAAACATCTGTCCATCGACTCCAAGTGGGCTTTTTAGTTTATTCAAACTTCTTCACTACGGTAGCAGTACACAGGTTTCTCGGCGTGGCCATGGAGTGATTTTTTTTTGTTCATTAGATTACCCCATTATAAAGACATTAAGTAAAATTAAAAAAAATAAATTTGTACTAAAATTGGTCTTGTCATGTTAAAGTGGACAATTTGGGTTTTCATTTTTTTCAGAATAATATTTTAACTTTGTGTTGGAGATTACTATTTGGGTAATCTCGAATCTGTGTCTACAAACCAAAAGCCAACTTTACAGGAAGTGAAATTTTCATAGTGTTTATATGTAGTCATGTTTTGAAGGATTTCTTAGTTGGAATTTGCTGAAATGTAAGTATTTTGTTGCCATTACAGTGTTGTTGATTTCAAGATGGTTGTTAAGTAATGAAATAAAGGTATTTGAGAAAGTTGTAGTGTTAGGTTGGAATTAGCAGTATTTTTGCATTTATGTTATTTGACTATGTAGGTAACTCTGGCAATCACATGTTAGAAATCAGAGGAATTTTTTTATTTACACAAATTTTATCTCTGTACTATTTATTTAATTGTTATGTAGTTTATAAATATATATACATGTAACGATGTATTTTTCATAACCAATCTGCTATACCTGTATATCTCAAACATGATAAATGATTTCAGGAAAAATGCAAATCAACTGTTTCCTGCTACCTACATTAATTAATAAGTTATGTCCCTTGAAATGGCGGGAACCATCTGATAACTTTCTAAATTATGTGCCTCTGAGATACATGATATCTAAATATATATATATTCTTTTGTCTTCGTTTTACTGCTTTAAAGCTATCGAGCCATAATAAGTTTCTCTGTCATCTAGAAGTGAATACCAGCGGATTCTTAACGAGTCATGTGATTATCGATTGCCCATATGTAAAAGCATGTCCAATCAAATCTCTCGTCACAAACACTATTCGGGAGAAACTGTGACGCACATGTCGGCATGTTTTGTGGTCCACGTTGGTAACTACAATGTCTATGTGATACGGAAGGTTCAGTTTAAACTAGTGTGTGCATACTTTATAACACAGAATTACTCGACAAACTACCAAGCACCTCACTCTTGGCTCCGGATACGCAAGTTGCCTGTAAAATGATGGCAGACACCGCGGTCTCCGCTAGGTATGCGTAGATGGTAAACGTGGAAGAGACGCCGGCTTGTGACCAGAGACGTACATGCTACTATGGTATTACATCTCTGGTATGGTAAACAGCCAGTGTTCAGAATTGGAATGGTGTGCTAGTGTATAAAATTGACTTAAATGATAGACATTTTGGTAAACCTATTAATTTTTTTTCATAATTACATAAACATCATGTGTAAGTGGACATTGCTCAATTTCATACACGTTTCACTATTTAGAAGCCTGAGTTTTTCTTTATTTTCACATTTACACCTGTAGTGTAAAAAAGACCAAAAGCACAATATATTTTGAACTAAATATTGGACACTATGAATACAGATATAGCTTAAAGCATCGCCAAACACGTGGTATACACGTGTTTTGAAGAACATGCACTAGCTTACTAGTTGACATTCTTGCTCCAGACGGAGACTATATAACGTGTTATATACGTCTCCGCTTCAACTTCGCGATTTATTTTAACCCCGTTTTAAAGAATGTATTAAATGTATGACCATGCTCTCATGTCCAAACACTCCGATAACATTTTAAGACATATGCTTTGCATTATAAAATCAAATGTGTGATATTATTCTGAGATCAAGGAATGAGGATCATGATTATTTAGGTTTGAATAAAAATAAAATTTTGCATGTTATATGTTGTACGATGTTGATGAGAAATAGGCCAATGGTTACAGAACTAGAGTATTTTTATAGCTCTCCCTGTACAGTTTTAAGCATAATTCTTTCAAACTATACAGAACTCAAGGGGTCTCATTGAAAACATGCAGTGGAAACTAAAACTATATACATGTATTCATAATATAGTGTTTAACTTCATCCGTTAATTTATCTGGGGCACTCAGCTGGTAGAATTTTCATACTAGCCTTGTGGTAAGTGCATGGCTCTCGATCTGCCAGATTTGGGGCTGATATTCGGCCCCATTCCCAATGCAAAATAGTATCTTTTTTTTCCCAATTTAGACCCAAAGTTTTCCCAATTCTAAGGAAAACACCATTATTTTTCCCGATTCTAAGGGCCCCAGGCCCCAGTCCCAAAATGGGGTGTGAGAGCTCTGAAGTGTATGTGTTAGCCGAGACATAGCTATAGTTTTACTTTATGAATTGTTGTTACAGCCCATGGACTACAGAGTCAATCCTCCTGAAAGACTTCGATTTAGCCGATTTTGGATGTCTCGATGGAAATGACCATGAAACTGTGGCATTAAACAACAGTTATGATCGGTAAATATATCTGTCTTTGATCTGATTTCTTGACCGAAAGACTAGCTGAGAAATGCACAATTTGCATATGTTTTTAAAAATGTTTTGAAAGGATCCTATCACACAAGTGCCATGTTAGCATGAATTGATATTTTGAAAAAAATTGTACTGATTCTTGTTATTAAAACGACAATTTTTTCTGAGTATTCAGGGGTGTAAGGTAATTAAATAATTTTGAAACTTAAGTTTTGGTATGATCCAAATTTGAAAATGTATTAAATTAACTTTACTTTTTCAGTGTGTGGAAGCAGTCTTCTTTGCATAGCCACCAGAATCTATCCACAGGGACAAGTGCAGCAAGCTCCGACTGTAGTGATGAACACGATCTATATCTAGACATCGATGCAGATTTGAATGAACATCTTTTTGGAGACATTTCCACTTCATTATTGAACATCATTCAGGACACAGATGTCTCAGGTACAAAAAGTACTAAGTGTTTTGTCAGTTGCTGATAATAGTTGTGATTTTTTATTGCATCCGACAATAGCAAATCTTTCCAGGGATCAGTCTAGGATATAGGGAAAAGAACCCTTTTTTTGACTAGGGAAAAATAGCATGGGTTCCAAAGGGTTACAGGAGGAAGCCTCCTGGGCTGAAAACTACTTAGTTTTTTTAGCATTTTGCAATTGACAACTTTGGAATAATGTAAGATTTTTTTAAAAATACAAAATATACAAAATCTATCAAATTCTGCTCCATAGAACTTCAATATCAAAATGTAATCAACGCTGAATAAGGGAATATATTGTAATATTTAACAGGAACATTCTGCAAGAGGGGAATTTTAGCTGAACTATATAACACCAGTAGTAAAATAATCCTAGATTGATCCCTGTCTTCCTATATTTGACAGAATAAAAATGCTTGTGAAATTGTGACTATATACTAGCAAAGTTTAATTTAAAGGATTTTGAGTTTCATGTTGATAACATTCTTAACTGATTTTAAAAAAAAATGATTTCAACAAGATTTATATAGTGTTCATACTTAATGTCAGTAGTGTATGAGTATGTAGAAAGTTTGATGTTGGGATGGTAAACAAAGTTAGGATGTATCGTCTAATTAACTATAAGTGATTGGTATAACTATCAAAAAGCTATCATTATTGTTGGAGAAAATTGCTATAGGAATTACTATTACAATAGTTTTGAAGTTGTCTAGTTTTATTACCTTATATTAAAGTAACATAAAAGATTAATTGATTATTTACATGAGTCAGTTATGTAACACTATCTTCATTGTCTTGTTAATGTTTTTTTTCAAAAAACAAGTCTGAAGTTGTATTGACTTCTTTGATATGATTTTGTCAGTCTTGGACTTTCGTTGTTGCACTTCCACAATAATATTCCAAGCAGTGGAATTTTTATCAAATTTGATATTGATCATGGATGGTGAGTCATTATATTTCTATGGGCTTCACTACTGTGAAGAACAGTATTCTGAACACATCTGTCATATTATAGTATTGGTTGGTCGAGTGGCGCAGTGGTAATGCACTCGCCTTTCACCTAGCCGACCGGGGTTCGATTCCCGGTACAGATGTGAAAAGGTAAGGGGTCACCTGCCCGACCACGTGGGTTTTCCCCTGATACTCTGGTTTCCTCCCACAATAAGACCCCTTGCGCGCTTACATCCGGGCCAACAAGAGTGATTAGTATAAGTTGACATAACTTGTTTCACAGTTGTTGTAAAATCAATAAAGTTTATATTATATTATAGTATTTTTCATCATGCCAAACAAAGGTGACATGTTATTTTCAGAAGTGGAAATAGAATTTAAACATAAGGAATATGTTATATGAGCCTTCTGTCTTAAATAGCTAATTGATTTGTTTCTCACGAATTTCAGAAACAATTGCTCTTGCTCAGGATTTTGACTGGCAGAGTATCTCCTGTGATTCCTCTAATACGGCTGCTACGTCAGAGATTGAAGATAATCTAAACACCAGTTGCTCAGAAGGGGATATAACTCCAACTAAAAGTCATAGTAAAGTTTCATCAAACTCAAAATGCCGTTCAGAGACATTTACAGACAGCATAAAGTGGTATGTATAATCAATATTACAAATGAAATTTAATGTGTAATATGAAAAACTGTAACAGCAAGGTATAATCTTAATTTCAATCCACTAAATCATTTTATCTCAAATTTCTAATATGTTGTCTGCTTTCCATATTTCATGTCTCAGTAACTTATTAATTGAGGGATTAATGTCATTAACTGTGAAAAAGTATTTCAAATTTGGTAAAATTAAGATGGAAATGTAGCAACATCTCCATTTTTTCTTTCTCCAAATTTATTTGGTTTAGTTGAGTGTGAAATTTTTACACAATTAAAAGAACAGATTACTTGAACAGAATTTTTTGATCGTTGTTGTCTTGCTCACCATTCTAAGAATGGTTCTTACTTAACATTCTGTTTGGTTTTACACAGGACATGTCTGAGTCCTGAGGAGCGAGTCCAAGTGGTGGAGGATCTTAGTCATATTGTTAGTCGGGAATTAGGACTACGAGAACAGATGGAAGTGATTCGGATCATCAACCCTTCAGCTAGTGTATCTCCTACAGACACCGAGTTTGTCATTGGTATGTCAGTTCTGTCTGTCCTCCATGAATCCAGATCAGTGTTCTTGATAGTAGGGTAGCTTAGGATCTGTAATGATGTCTACTTCTTTACAAATTGAGATCAACATTAACAACTTGATCGGTTTTCATTAAAATTAGAACCAAATTCATACCAGAAATTACCTATTGGCAGTTTTGATTCAAGGTGTTGAAGTCAGAAGAATTTTTGGGTTATTTTAAGAAATGGAAGAATTTCAGATGGCCCTTTTGATCACAATTCAAAAGAGGGATAGGTTGGTAAAACTGAATGACATACAATACCATAAGGATTACATGTCTATTGTAGAGCTGGACTCCCTGAACGATGAGAAGTTACAGAGGATAAGAGAGTGTGTATGTAGACATGCAACAAATCAGTGTAGCCCAGACAGCTCACAAGAAGATAAATTTACTCCTAGTAAAAAGTTTGACAAGGTAAGGAATTTTGTAAAATCATCACCAGCAAAAATATTCTGAACATCTGGTATATGATAATGTGTGCCCAATGAGCAGTTCCATATCCCATAAAATTTTGATATCTAAATTTCGAAGTACCAGTGTTAAACCTTGTGTGTGCAAAGTGATTGAAGTTTGATGTATTTTTGCATGAGACCCTGCTCAGTTTCTAATGGGAAGCAGTCTCTCCTTTAAAACACTTCAAAGATTCAGTAATATTACAGATCTCTGTTTTGCATCGAGTGTTGTTCACAGTTAGGCACTACCGTTTCTTCCTGTTAACAGCTGTTGTTGAGAGGATGCAAAGTTAGTGCAATATAAAGAAACCGGTAATAACTACTAGTGCTATTTGTCGAAGTGTTGTACTAGATTTAATGCCGGCTAACAGCTGACAAGTTTCTGTTCTGGTGTAGTAGCGGTCTTGCTTTGTCTGAACTTAACAAATCTCGTTCAACTGACCTGAGACTTTTGCTGAAGTAATTGTGCCAAATTTCTGGAGTTTTCCTGTCTTGAGATGACAGAAAGGTCGAGAGTCCTTTTAAATTAAGAAAAAAGTCTTACTAAAGCAAAGGTTTTTATCCTGTTTTCATTTTATTGTTTTTTGTGGTGGGGGAGGGAGGACGGACTAATGGGGTTAAAGGGATATAGTATTACCCAATTCACCCCCAAATCTTTAGGGTCATATATAGATATCATATTATATCTAATATGAACTTCTTAAGAAGCAGTCACTTGAACAGATTTTTGTTTGTATAGGAGCCATGGGGAATTCACATTTTACTGACATTTCCTTGTCATTATGGGGAGAGGTGCTGGAGCACAATACCATTCATTGCCTTGTTTCAATGTTGGGCTCTTCAAATTACATTTTATCAATAGTTTTCTTTGTCATTTCATATTGTAAACATATTTTGTCCACTTTGTTTTGGTATGTTATGCAAAGTTTTCAGTTTAGATCCTAGTTGTGCATGTTAATGTGGAGAAGAAGATTGCCACCATGTACTGAGGATGTTTGATTTTTAACTTTTTTAGGTTAGGTATTGCTATTTCTGAAGAACAATGGAAGAGATTGGTTTGAATGGTTTCCATAACGTTCAGTATAATCCCATGTTTTGCAGCATAATTCTAATGGGTTATTTCTAAGAATGCTGGTGGAAAATAAACTTAAGTATTGCCTATCATTCCTTTGTTAGGTATTGAGCGGCATTCACTTTCTGGCACTACCGTTTCTCCCTGTTAGCAGCTGTTGTTGAGAGGATGCAAAATTGGTGCAACATTAAACAACCCGCAGTAACTACTAGTACTGTCTGTCAAGTGTTGTACTAGGTTTAGTGCTGGCTAACAACTGTTCACAATAATTCGTATTGTTTGTCTTTTGATAAACTTGTTCTAGAATCTAAACAGCTTTGACAGAAGCTTAATATATGGAATAATTACACGCAGTTAAAAAGGCCCAATTTCATTTGATTGACTTGCTTTATAACAGAAACTTAAAACACGTGAAAGGAGAAGTCGACAGAAAGCCATCAGACAGCGTCAGCGAAAAGATTACAGACAAATGCTGAAAGAGAAACGCAGTGGGTTATTTGTGAAAGAGGAAGTGCTATCACTTACAGTTGAAGATCCTGGCAGTTTGCCTGTAGATGATGGAGATGGCGATATAGACATTCTGGGATAACCCTAGTGTAAACTACCTAGCTGTAATTAGACACACATTGCATGGTCAGACTTATTATTGGTGTCATTTATAAATTATTGAGACAAGCCAATGTTGGGGTGACCAATTATCCTTCATTATTATCAATGATACAACATATATGTTATGTCCTTAAAATATGTTACGATGTCCTCATTAGATTTCAGAAAATGAGAAAACCTTATTATTTTAACATACGGGAGAAGAGTACTAGTGCTACCTTCTATATTTGTTAAATTTACAATTTAGTTATATTTTCTATGCACGGAGAGCTAATTTTGAAAATGTATCATCTGTTTTAATTTTTTATACACCTGAGTGTTAATATTGTAGCACTTTAATAAGTAATAATGCTGCTATGATGATAGTGCTACCTCTGTTCTAGCAAGTGTTCATTGAAGTCTGTAATTTTTTTTTCCTAATATAGATTTTATTATAAGATATACATGGAAGCACCCATCCATTATTTACTATACACAGTACTGCCATTGGTTAGACATACTCCCTATACATCAATTTGTACAACCCAAGCAATAATAATATATAAACATGACAAAATTACCAAAATTGGATTTTCAAAATGACTTTTAATACATAATCTTGAACATAAAAAAATTTGCACATCAGAAACAATGCCTTTATACAGTATAGAAAAAGTTTAGATATTTTTGTACTTGAACTGGTGTAAGTGACATGTATGATTATATTATATCTAACGGGACGCCAGAGATGCAGAAATGTTGTAGATCACATTAGCTTTTTTTCAACATTGTGGTTTTAATTAAATATTTAGTGCGTGTATATGAAGATAACGTTAACATACTGATTGTTTGCACGGCAAAAATGCTCCCTTTTGTGAACATTTTGATATAGAATTCGTCAACTCTATTGGTTGACATACAACACCAGTAATCAAAATGATCCCAATTAATTTGATAACTTACAAGATAAAAACGTTAAGCACTACAAAATTAGTGTTGGTAATTTTTTTTTCAGTTTTTCTAGAATGTAAGAAACATTTCTGTTGAATGATCGAATGCCCAAATTGTTAAAATTGTAGTGCTCTTTTTTATACTATTGAACCGTATTGTAGAAATGGGAAATAATTTTGTTTATATATTTGTTATTTGTCATGTGTAAGCTTACAACCCTTCAATTTGTGAAGCTTACTAAGGTTAAAACTGAGTAGTTAAATGACCTGTATGATCAATGATGGTTTGATAGTTTTTTTTCTACATTTTGAATGCAGTGTGTTATTTCCTACATCCTCTCCTTACATTTCTGGTGTTTACACCTCCTTGACTTAAATATGTGTAAACTGGGATATACAGTAGTATACTTGTTACATACCTTAGGAACCTGTAGTTGTGTGCTTAAAATGTATTTTTAGATATCAAAAACAATGCCTCTTTTCTGATCTCTGTGTGTGTACATTGTCCGAAAAAATGGCAATACAGAACTGCACTGTTTACAGTGAATGCTTGTGTCTGTTGCCGTTAACTGTAAAATTATAATTTGTATGAGGATGTTTATTTCTGTTAAATTGATACTTGTTCTTAATCCATGATTTTTTTTTTGTCCACAAATGAATAAATGTGAATAAAAATGGACATGGATTGCAATACTATCAGATTTGGTGAACAGGATATGTGTGAAATTAAGTACCAATGAGAACAATGGCGTCAAGATACAGATCATTATGATAATATCATGTTGTGCTTGGGATAAATTTTTCATTCCTTAAATTTAATGAAAACTCATGTTTTCTAGACAAGGTCTGTCTTGGTTTTTTTTCTTTTTTTTTGTAAATGTACATGTAGCAATGCTCAGAAATGTGTGTCAGTCTGCATTACAAAATTGGAATGGATTTCCACCCTTATTATACTATGTTGATACTTGTGTTTTGCATTCGTTATATGCCCTATATTGTATCTCCTATTACTATTTTATCTATCAAAATTGCCTGATGTCAACCTTTTATGAATTTTGATAATAAGTCTTACCATGCCAACAAATCAGTATTTGTTTGTTCAGTGTGTCCTGGTAGTGTTCATCACCTCAGTCTGAAATATCACTATCATTTCTATCATAGATATCATAAAACTTCTTTAAGCCTTCAAATTATATTTTTCATACTGCAGTTCAGCTATATTCAAATATTTTAAACGTCAGTTTTTAACATGTTATAGCAAATTTGAAATTTGCGCAAAAATGAATATGCTCTTCCAAAATTATTGCTTTCTTAACAGAAAATAAGATGAATATTAATAAGTTCACAACCTCTTCATGTTTTTCCCTTTGGCTGGACCTGAGGTTGAAGATGTTACCAAATGCAGTTCATAAATATTACTGGAAAGCATGACACTGTAAGGACTGGGCACAGTGCCAAGTAGCCTGACCTCCTGACCTTGTCTCTTTGAGATGTGCAATAGATCATGATTTTTTTCAGACTTGATGGCGTAGTCCATGACACACTGGACATGAATAAACAAATAAATCTTTGATTGAAATTTGTGTTGTTTTGTTTGTATGCATACCTTTTAAGCCTGCCTTCATCAGATGTGGGGTATTCAAACTGCCCTAATACATGGTCCGACTGTCCATCTGTAAACAATACTTATCACTATTGAGAAGTACAGGGTAGGTCTTTCTCAAAAATGCTGATGTAGGTTCCCATAGAACCTAATTATGCCTTTTTAGCCCACCATCATCACATGGTGGTCTTTTCAAATTGTACTAGGTCCGTCTGTATTTTGTTATCACCATTTCCTGAGAAGGACTGGATGGATCTTTCTCAAAGTTCCTATGTAGGTTCTTCAATGTCACAAGTTGTGCCTGTTTGCTTTTGGGACTGATCAGGAAAGTAAAATCGCCGACTGGCGGCCATCATGGATTGTGACTTTGAATGATTTTTATCGCTATTTCTTGAGAACTACTGCATAGATTTTTCTCAAGGTTCATGTGTATGTTCTCCTTGATCCCAATTTCTGCCTGTTTGATTTTTGGACTTAGAATATATATTGGAATCACCCTGTCAGACCGTCTGTCTGTCCGGAATATTGTGTCAAGTGTATCTAAAACGTTTGGCATACTACATCAATATTATATAGAAGTTGTGCCCATTCACCTTTCGTTAATTTCGACATTTGGAAGAGTTACGCCCCTCCTTGTAGATATTCTATAGAATTTTGTGTCTAGTAAATATAATGAAGTACAGAAGCAATGTTTCTCAAACTACATACCTATAATGTATAGTTGTTACCTTTCACTTTTCATTTACACTTCATCAAATGTTGCAGCTAATTATAGCCTATAACTTGACATATTAGGAGTTCCGAAACCGTTACCATGAAAACAGTTAGGAGCCTTCTCACTGGTCGAAATTAAGATATTATCTTACTAAGTTAAAATTGGTATAAAAAGGTTTAGGGGGATGACAAATACAATGATAACATTTCTGGGAAAAATTGTTTCTATTTGGTTGCCATGGTGACCAAATGAAGACCTCTCGGAGGAATTTTGTTGTGAACAACCCCTCCAAAACTATTGTTGATTGGGGAGCATGGAGTATTAGTCGGCCATCCTGGGGACAGTCTAGATATTGTTATTTTAGCAAAGGATTAATTTTAAAATTTTGTTGGTAAGAGCAAAACCGGAGAAGGGAAAAGATCCAACGTGCAAAGAACAAATAGAAGCCAAACAATTGTGGGCGCCAAAATCCCTGTGTTATCTCTTGTTGATAATGTGACTGATCACAAAAATGCCATCTTGGATTTTTACAAAGAAAGTTTGTGATCGTTATTCCTTGAAATATAATATGGATCTTTCCTAAACTTTAGATGAAGTATCTCCTTACCCCCTGGTTGGGCCCTTGAAAATATTCAACTTTTGAAGAACAAATGACTAAACCGTTTTGACAGTGAAGGTTAAGGCGAAAATGAAGGTCAGAACGACCTACTCATGGTACCCATACAATTAGTATTAACTATTTTGGCGTCATGACGTGGTGTAACGAGGATTTTTGCGTGATATTATATAACACAATGGCCGTAATTCCAGGATATATATTATTAATTCTTCGTTAATCCTTCCATGTAAGCACCCGGCATTTACAAACAGGTCACATGTCAGTTAATCCGGTACTCGTGTCATTCAACATTACGTGTAGCAGAAATGTATTATGCAATGTACAATGATAACGTATATGGCCTTTTGGTCGGTAAAATTCGTTTTAATCAGCGCCATGATGCAGACTTGTCGGGTGACATGGCATGATTTCTAGAACAGGCGTTAGATAAAGGGTACTACAGGAATCGTCAGAGCCGGGCCACCTTGTCCTGCGAAAGAGGAAAAGACCATCCATATTTAATAAGTCTGCGAATCTGTATGTCGTCGACTTGACGGCAGTTCTGAGCCGTGTTTTAAATTAATTTTTGGTGACTTGACAAAAATTATATATGTATTGAATGGATTTTGAATTTTCATTGATAATATTTAACTGTCATTTTATGGAAAGGTATGACGTCACACCGGCCTTTTTCTGATACCCGCAATGGCCTATTGTGAAGAAGGATATAGGTTATGTTATTGAGATGTGGCCGTTTTTATGTCTATATTTGTGACACATAACCTAAACTGAACCTCATGTAAATTCAATATATTTGTAGATAAGTATACAACAGTTTAACGCGTTCAATCAACGTTGGCTACCATTGGCTATATTTGTCTAGTATTCAAAGTGTAAGAGAGTTCGTTAAAGTACAAAAGTTATGTCCCTTCCGTTGTTTAACTAGCTCTGCTTGTTACAAAAACTGAGAATATTGAATATCGAAAAATCAGATTGGCTGTAAAATCTTGGATCACATTTGAATAGACTATGGAATCAGTTTTGGTTAAAATAGAAGTTTGTTTAAATCAACAAACACAAGAATGAGTATAAACAAATTGAGCAATGGTCAACAGGAATTGAAAATCTAAAAAAAACTCACAAATTTATAAAGATTTAGTTCTCTAAAACATGAAATAGATAAACCACGAGGTCATTAAAAGTTTTAAAATGGCACCTTGCTCGTTTTAAAAAGTGTGAACACGAGTCCAGTCTAACCAACCCTTTTTTTGAGGAGGGGGGCGAGGGGAGAGGAGGAAGGGGTAGTTTTAAGGGGCGGGGTTCACACCAGTTCCTTCTATATAATACTAGGAGATTTTACTTATTACAAAAAGGGAATCTGGCGATGATATTCAGGCAACGACATATGGTATAACTGGATTTGAAAAAGTGAAATCTCTTTACATTTACCGAATGGAGACTATCCCCACAACTGTAAACGACGAGACAAGGTATAGACATCCAGTGTGATTGGAGAACGATGGAGAAAGATGTCTTCTGTATGATGACGATTCAGCACATGTGAATATAGACATCTTATATCTGCAACTGATGATGATTTTCTTTAAAATACATTTGGGAATATTCAATCATGTTTGATAATGGCATATTCTATTCGTGCCCTGGTCTCTTTTACCAAGGATATACTCAGCATGTGTTCAACATACTATATCTTCATTGATTTTCGGATTTCTGACCAATAAATCAAGACCGCATACAACAGGGTTTTTAACATACATTCACCAAGTAATATAGGAAAGGATATTGACGTTTCCAATAGAATCATTTTTTGTTATTTTGAAATTTTGATTTAAAAAAATGTTTTGAGAAACACGTTTTGAGGGCTCTAACGATATATCTTTACTTGTCAAAGATGACCATTTCTAAAGATTACAAAACTGATACACGTATAGAAAAGCAAGGAGATGAATCACTATGAGAATGATGGAAACACGAAAATAGATTAACCGATTTCTGTGGTAGATGTATTTAAAGTTTTGTTTGTAGTGTTTTCATCAAATAGACTATCAAATTGGGTATATTTGTCATAAAAAAAACTTGTACAAGTGAAATAACGTATCTCTGTGATAATTTTTTTTATAATATGTACAGCTTTGTCAGATCAATATTTTAGCATTCCGTAAGTATTTATCTAAATAAAATAAGATTTCAAAATAATCTAATATTTTCATTGTTTTATTAGAACGTCTATTTACCTGTGTCTGCTTATAACTGTCACTGTTGTGATTGTAAACACCTGAGATGTCTTTTGATAATTAACATCTCCTCAAACCAAATTTATTTTGCCTTTTTACCTCTAAAGCTCCCAAAGGTTAACTGAATTGGAATGAGCTTTTGAAAAAAATCTGTTGGTGAGATATCCTTGTCCCGGCAGAGGCGAAACTGTGTCTTTGACTAATCAGCAGATTTTGAATTAACTCTGGGTCTCATATAAGCCCCAAAATTTCCAGAATGTGCGTTAATTACATAGAAGTCAGATAATTCATGCCTAATATTTGATACAGATGTATAATACAACATAATGTACTTTATTGTAGGAAAAGCACGTTTTTTTTTATTTCAGCTGTTCTGTGTAACAAACATGGTGTACCACAATATTACAGCGGAACTTTAAAAATCAACTTCGATACCACAGGTGTTGTATTCTATGATATTAGCTAAAGTTGATAAAGAAACTATCTCGTGATTTCTATAAATAGATATCCATGATTGGTTTTTGCTATAGCAATAGTGTTGCACAATGTACTCTCTTTTGTTTGTTTGTTTGTTTGGTTACATATCTTCCTGACAACTAACAAGCAGCTTAAATGAATAACACACACGTGTTGGTAGTATAGATGGAATCAGTCAGCGGAGAAAACTGTTTCAAATCTACGAACGAGTGGGACGCATGCTTTTAATTATTAATCACACAATTATAGATCTTATCTCTAAACAAACAACGTGCTAGAATCTATCGACCAAATTTAAGAAGTCATATACTTAATCTCCCGTCCTTCCAAGAAAACGTAAATACCAGCCCTCTTAATAAAACATAATGTATGGGTGGCAATGAATGGTTTTGACACCCTCTAATGATAACATGGCAATTAATCGCCCGTAAATATCGTGTGTAAGAATAATAATTGTCAGCAACAGACACTGAGGAATTGTTTACTATCATTCTTTGTTTCTAAAATGATCCTGGAAGTAGTTAACACAGTGATTTGTTAATTATGAATAATAGATATATTTGTCTAAGATGTTCACACACGTTCTAGTGTTCGACTGACCGTAGCACGAGCCTCTTTGACCAGAACTGGTGGTACCGTTTCGCTACCTACAAATATGAACACCTTTTGCTTCCAAGGTGCCAATCACAGAGAGATAATTATCTTCTAGCTTTGGCGGACGTTCAAGCCAAGGTAACGCAAAGAGCGGCTCAATAGAATGCATAACGTCAAGGGCAATCAATGCTTTCGCAAATACCTTTTCATATCATATTGTTAAGCTTTAAAGTGTCTTTCGATTCAAATTATTTGAATCAACCTAAAAATTCATCATGCACATACGCCAGACAATGCATTGTTCGTCATTGATGTTGAATCCTTTTCTAGAAGACCT